TCAATTCTCTTTCTGCAAGCCCACCTTTGTTAACGAAGCAAGGACACTTTTGTGGCATCTGTTTGACAGTGTCGCTAGGTACAGGGAGTGGCAATACAAGCTGCACCAGCGGCACTCAGGCCTGGGTGGCACAAAAGCCATGTGAAAAGCATCAAGTATGTTAAGCTGTTAAAAATGAAAGACGTTTACAATTCCCTGTAATGCCGAATTAGAGAGCAATTTCAGATACGATCGACCGAAGGGTGGCTGCTCGACATTTTTAAATCAACCAATGTTTTGATATGCTATTGTCTAGTGTCTTTTATAAATGAATCCAAACTTAGTTTTGACCAGAAAAAATATTTGGGGACAGAAAATATTGTAAGGCATGAAGAGGTGGATAGTTGCATTCACGCGCACTGATGGAGGGGGGAGTGAAAAACTAAAACGATTACATTAGGAGAATTCTAATAGTACTTTTTAGACGCTAATTATGGGTACAGCTTGCTTGTAATATAAAGTAATAATATTTATTTAAATTTCATTTATTTTTCTAAAAATTGTTAAACATGCCTGCTCGAACGACAAATGGCAAAATTTGGAGGCCTGCATCTCATGAAATAATTTAACCATTATTATATAATTTGCAGATAGCGTTCTGCTTATATATGCCTACTATTTAAAAAATAAATAAGGTATGTGAGTGATATAATAGTCAGGATATATTAAGGCAAACGTAAGAAACAAATTAAACAACAAAATATTCCATACTCTATTTCGGCATTCATTTCTATTAAAAACCTGTTGCATTATTTTATTGAGAAAGAAGAAACAACTAGCCAAAGTAGGGTCCTTTTTCAAAGCCTACACTTAGCAGTGCCCTAGACAAGAAGTGACTCTGAGGTCCAGTTTTATGAAACTAACACAAATCTTTTATATAGTTTTATCCAGATGAGGCCATTGATAACTATATAAATCGTTCACGCACTACACTTGAGGAGAAACTACTGTGTACAAAGAGCTATCATACACATCTTTTATATAGTTTTATCCAGATGCGGCCATTGATAACTATATAAATCATTGACACACTACACTTGAGGAGAAACAACTGTGTACAAAGAGCTATCATATTACGAACTAGTGATCCAAGAAAAGATCCTGCAGGCCATCGGTCACTGGGAACTTTGTTTACTTTATTTTCCTAGGGCACTATATGCTTCTCTCTCTTATCCTCTATCTCCATCTCTCTCTCTTATATATATCCCTGACTTGTATCTAGAATAAAAACATATTCAAGCATTCCCTTTCTGCGTGGTGGTGTTCTGTGGCTAGCAACAATCATTTCATTGCGAAGATCACGATTATGGCGCAATAGTTGACGGAAACAGCAGGCGACACTCGTCGCTAGTTCTGGCAAAACGGCCGATACAATCTTTTTTCGCATTTCCCCGCTCGCTGTCAAGGATGAGGGGGTTCGCTTCAACCAGCAAAATATGGCCGCCGATGCCCGTTTACTGACAAGTCGCGAGTGTCGCCATCCCACACAGGCACAAACGGGCACACCGAAAGAAAGCAGAATCCCTGAATACTCGAGCCTCGCCTAAATGCAATAGAGCGTAAACACTGTCGCCATGTTAACCTAGAAAAGGTTAATATGGCGACAGTGTTCACGTTTTAGGTAAGTAAAAGAATGGCGTGTGGTATAAGCCGGATTTTTATACGAGGTGCAAGGTGAGCCCTGAGAACCTGTCTGCTGCCTTAGACTACTTCACGAAAGACGAGCTACAATGTTCGCATCGAGGTCCCAACCAGAAGGACGTGATCTCTGTCATGCTGGACGGGGAGAAAACGTTTGTGCCAAAGCACTTCCTGACACGCTCAATCCGAGAGGCCTTTCGTGTAAACAAAGACAAGCATCCTGATTGGGGCGTTGGGCTAACGAAACTATATTCCTTGCGCCCTGGATGGGTCAAATGTATTCCACACCAGGAAGTGTGCGTTTGTTTGCGCTGCGCCAATGATTACCTTTGTATTGCCGCTGTGGAGAACGTTACAGGCTCAACATTCAACACTGATAAAATGAAGTCAGCATTTCTGTGCGACCCACTAACAAGTCTGTGTCTTTAAGGAGATGCTATCACTGCCCAAAAGGCCAGTCTCTTACACTAGAGAAACTTCATATCCCAGAGGATGAAGAGATTGTGCTTACATGGAAGTCCGGTGACCTTGTAGAAACAAAAAAAACAAAAAAAAAAACATTGGATTTTGAGACTTTCCTAAAAGTCGTTCAAGTAACAGTGGAAAGTTGGTTATTTCACAACCATATCCGACAAACGCAAGATAAAGCGATCTACGATGAAAAGCAGCTGCATGCAACGTGGGCGCATTGTCTTTCATTTTATCTTTGCTGAAAACAACCATCGTGCTTCCTGACAAAGTTAAAGCATACAACATAAGAAAAAAAGTTACAATATTTACATGTGTAGTGACGACAAGAAAATCTACAAACAGCATTGCTATCATCAGTGAGGACCTGTATGACGTCGTCGCTCTCACAAGCTTGGCTCTAGAAAAAGTGAAAGAGTGGCTTGAAGACAATGTTGCAGTATACTCGCACGTGATATACGTAAGTGAAGGGGCCGCCAATCATTTTAAGAATAGCTACCAGCTTCTCCAGTTTGCCCAGAATGATTTCCCACAAGCCCAGTGGTTATTTTCTGCACCTGGACATGGGAAAATGCATGCGACGGAGTTTGCGGACTCGTGAAGCACCAGGCAACGCTGAACAACTTGAGAGAACGTTCAATAAACGCAATTCAGACAACCAGGACAATGGTAAGCATTCTATCCGAGAAACTGGGTGCATCTTGCGTATCTGTACGAAAATTAGCTTGTTCGGTATCGTAACAAAAAAAAAAAAAGAAGAGTGGCTGACGGTGCGCGCCTTTCCTGGCATTCATTTTTGGCACGCATGGCGGCTGCGCAAGTCATCAACAGAAAGAACCTGTGACATATATGTAGCACGGACAACCGGATCTGGTTAGAAGAAACTTTATTAATTGGGTACATCGAGGAAAGCCTTTGTGTAAAGTGCCGAATTTGATGCCCAAAGGACTGCTCATTTTGAATGCAGGGTTATCTTATTTATCACAGTTTTCTTCACGGGGTATTTAACCTATTTTACTTGGTGATAGCTTATAGTCTTTATCTGATCACAATATGAGAATCAGGAAACGTTATCCTTGCGCAGGATAAAATATCTCGGCTTGCCACGGTCCATTCGTACACCGAGAGTGTCGAAGTTCTTACAGTCCGACGTGGTGGCACCGCTCATCTGAAATGGTTTGTCCCCGGAAATACGTAACTAACCTAAACAATTTTAGTATTCTATCTTTATTTTTGAGTGTGAAAGTAAAGTTGTTTCTTTTATTTTAAATATAAATTATACCGGAAAGTAAAACTTCACACTGCATCATCTTTTCTCGAATCACCAGCCTCTAATATGATACCTCTTTGTACGCAGTATGTATAAAGCTGTATATAGTTTCTCCTCACTTTTAGTGTGTGACCAATTGCTCTAGTTATCAGTGACCTCATCTGAATAAAAATAAATGAAAGATGTGTGTTAGTTTCCTGAAACTGGAACTCAGAGACACTTCTTGTGTAGGGCACTGCTAAGAGTAGGCTTTGAAAAAGGACCCTAGTTTGGGGAGTTGTGTCTTCTTTCTCAATAAAATAATGTGACATGTTTTTAATAGAGATGAATGCCTAAATAGAGTATGACAGGGTACCCAAATTTTAAAAAAATCTAAGGCGGTGTTTTTTTATTTGCATCGGAATTTTTCGTTCTTCGATTTTTTTTCCCATGTTTGTCTAAATATATCCTGACTATCGTATCACTCAGACACCTTATTTGTTTTTTTTTAAATATTAGCTATATATAAGTAGAATACTACCTGCAAATTATATGATAATAATTAAATTATTTCATGAAATACAGGCCTCCAAATTCTGCCATTTGTCATTCGAGCAGGCATGTTTTGCAATTTTTAGAAAAATAAATAAAATATAAATAAATATCATTACTTTATTTTACAAGCAAGCTGTACTCATGTTTGTTTTTAAAAAGTATTAGAATTCTTTTAACTTTATCATTTTAGTTATTCTCTCAAACATGCCCCCTCCATCAGTGCGCGTGAATGCCACTGTCCACCTCTTCAAGCCTTACGGTTTTATCTTTCCTGTCCCCAAATATTTTTTCTAGTCAAAACTAAGTGTGGATTCGTTTATACCAGACACTAAACAATGGCATATAAAAACATCAGTTGATTTAAAAATGTAGAGCAGCCACCCTTTGGTCGATCTTATCTGAAATCGCTGTAGAGCACAACTCTTGAGGAGCAGGGGGGAGGGTATCCTCCCCTCGTCCTCCCTCCTCATCCTCCCCCTCTCCTCTGCACCATCCGCCCCCTCCTCCATCCTCCTCTGTACCGTCCTCCCTTTCCTCCATCCTCCTCCTTCCCTCTGCCACCTCCCCCTCCCTTCCTCCCTTGTGACCTTTGTGACGTCATTATGAAAAACATTCCATAATGCAATGCGCGGTTACGCCGACGGCGACACCGCTCAAGTCGGAAACGGGCGCCAAAGAGCCATGTTTTGAAACAGAGCTTCGAATGCACTGGCACATTTCCTATTGTCACAATGTCTCAGTCAGTTTCATAGCTTAGCATGCCGAAGGTACCCATGCAGCATTTCATCCCTTTCGGCTAGCACTAGTCCGAACCAGCTCATATTGCTCCGAACTGTATTCCTTTGAAAACTGGTCACATGGTGTAAAAATCCCTCGTCACCCAGTGGGTAAACTACTTGCAGTGACCAGGAAGTGGTCCTTCGAGAGCCTCATGGTGCAGCCAAAGCCGCAGCTACATCGCAGATTGCCGGCACCTTGGCCCTAGATTTCAGTCGGCGAGCACAGAAGAGCCTGCTCATCAACCCCGAGCAGCCAGTGGCCCACATACCTCGGTGGTGTGGCTTCTTTCATGGTTGGTCCGATGGGGCTCTGTCCCTCGACACTTGGAAGAGTGTTGCTCCTTGGCTCCTGTTGAACTCTTGCTGAAGCGCTCCTTGTAGGCAGGGGATTTGCTGGACCCTAAGCATTCACGGGAAAGTTGTGAGCACATTCCACAGACAGGAGCTGTGCCCAGTCCTCCCGACAGAGTACAGCTTCCCGGCACAAAGCAAAGAACCTTGACAAAGGGTTCAAAGCTGACCCAGTTGGCACCCGTTCTATGGGAGAAGTGAAGCCACAACAGGGACATAAGCCAGACAGGTGCTCGTCTGGTTTGTGTCTGTTATGCCCCCCTCTCTGGCACACTTTCTTAGCAATAGACCGATCTCACCAGGAGTTGCGCCATGCCACCACAGCCGCGGTGCATTCTGGTACGTGTAGTTCTCCCCAGTTTTTCAGCCGTGCCAGTGCACGTTGTATGCCTGGCATTTGGAAATTTTCGGGTTAGCGCGAGTTTTATTTGGGTGTTTACTCACATTTTTCAATGGGTAGCTTCACCTGTTGTGTGTCAGGTTGCTACAATACCAGCACCAGGCAAAAAGGCTTGGGATTTTATATCTTCTCAAAAGGAAGCAGCCTCTGACAAGAATGGCTGAGAGAGCTAAACAGAGCCAGACAGAGCGGCAGGAGAGAGAGTGTTTTTCAATTTCTTTGGCAATTTGCTTCACGATTTATATCCACCCCATTGCACGTTAGCTAAAGAGTGTGAAGTTACAGGGCGCAACACACAGTAGGGTAGGCCCAAGTGTTCCCTGCCTTGGAATCTCCCTGAGCACTCGTTCCGCAGCGGTCTATCTCAATCGGGACCTCTACGCTGCTTTGGCGACCGTTTTTAATACACTTTTTGCTCGGTGTATTTCGGTGATTATAACTGTTATAACATGCTTCAAGCATAACTATGCTAAAAAAATCAGGAAAATCACTAAAAAAAAGAAAAGCAGTGAATCCCAAAATGCATCGCTTGAAATTAAACCAACTTTTTCAAAAGCAGTCTTAATTTTTTTTTTTAAACAAATTGGAAAAACATTGCATACTGCAGTTTTGAAGTGCAACACTTCCTGCCAAAAAGGCAACAAAAGAACCTTACCCACCTTGTGGTGGTCCATTATGCCACAACTTGATTTTGGCTGGCGTTACTACTCCCCTCAGTATTAACACCACCAGTCGAGACCGCAGCAAAAAAGCTTCCACCATCGGGCGACTGTTAGCGTTCGGAACTTCCGCAACCAAAAATTGATTTGAAACTGTACATGCAAACTCATCTCCACCCAACGTTTTTAGGTAGGCATGGTTGCTACTTTTTGATAGATGCGAGTTGTTACAGCACGTCAGGAACCGTCTTTCTGAAGATGGATTCTTGTCTGTGTTCAGGCTTCTCTCCGCACTTCACCTCTACCCTGTCGCACAGACTGTCAGCAAGAATAAAACAACTTAGAAAACTACTGCTCCCCGAGAAAGTCTATTCAGCTCTTCTTACTTCATTATCGATTAAACATTACGCACAAGCCTGGGCACTACCAAGCTCCGTTTCCCGTTGACACACTGGATGCTGTTCCGCGGTGCTACCCTGAGCCAATGGTCCCTTGAATATCTGTGTTCTTTGCCATTGAACTAGATGTTCACTTGTTTAAAAGTTCATTGAGAGGTCTGAGTAGCCGGGGTGCTCGAGTAGTGGCGTCGCCGTTTTCCCCGCGACTGCAGGAAGACCACCGCGTGAACGACTCGAACTTGGCAGCAGATGAAAAAGCAATTCTAAAGCGATAAGATGACGGTAACTGCTTTTCTGCACTTGCTGACAAACTAAGGCATCAGAAACAACACAACCTCATAAAGTGCACACATACAGGAAAATTCAAGCCGATACCGGGGCGTCCCTAACTAGTATGCACAATGATGTATGCGCACCGCAGCCCTATGCAGCCGGTAAAGCTGGAAAGCGATGACTACAAGTAGCATGGCGGCAGCACCACCTCCGGAATGCGTGCGCTTGTGCAGTTCGCTTGGTGAGATCAGTCTATTAACCCTCTACAAAGTTCCCCACTCCAGTGCCTCCCATCTAACACAGTGCCCAGTTCACACCCGGCAACATGAAAGACCCGATACACTCTTCCAACAAGGGCACTTTTCAGTTAAGATATTGACGGCAGTGTCGTAAACAAACCACTCGCTGCTTCGTTTTTCGTTAAAAATGATCAATATTATAAAAAAATCCTGTAAGAAGACCTACCCCAAAAAAAGAATAAATGGTGAACTTTATGAAAAATTAGTGATAAACACCGGGGCTCCCGCTAAAGACAATGTGACACGGGAATTGGTATTGCAGATCGCGGGTAGGGCAAATTCGTGCTCCACGGTGCGATAAACACGCGGAAATTTGATGCAAACTACTGTGTCACGGGAAAGGACACCGCAGGTTGCGAACAGTGTAGATTTGTGTTTCACGGAGGGATAAGCATGCGGGAGCCTGCTACAAACTTCTGTGTCACGGGAACTGATACCACACACGCATATCGCGGACAAAACCGCAAGAACCTGCAACGAAATCTCATGTCAAGAGAGCAGATACTGAAGATTTGCATTTCACGATGCAGGAACAACTCCCGTGGCACGGGAACCAACATCACGCATACAGGTCGCAGACAAAATCGTACGAACCCACTACGGGCTCTCTTGTCACATGTACAGGTTCTGCAGATTGCACGGTTGATGCGATTCCTGTCAGACACCATGTGATGGCCGACTGAGATCAGGGGGTGGGCAATGTTTTGGCATTTTTATATAATGGATATCTAGGAAAAGATACAGAATGGGAGATCTCTCGAGGGTGGGCGTTCATATGGGATTTTACGGTAATAAAAGTATTGGTGTAGATAAAAACCAACACGCAATAACCATGCAATACACACTCAGACAATCAAGGTAAGAGTAAACTTTCAGTGATGTGATTGGCCTAAGCCGTTTTGAAGCACCTTTCGGAGCAGCCAAAACAGTGTTTGGAGCAGCAAGAGTGGCCTCTGAAGCAGCAAAAACAGCGTTTTGGGAGCAGAAAAAGTGGCTTCTGGAGCAGCCAAAACAGTGTTTCGGAACAGCAAAAGTGGTTTTCGGAGCAGATATTCTTATAAAAATAAAAATATTTACTTTAAGTGCTGGACAAACGAAAGGTACTTTTTCTTGCTGCTCTGAACAAACAATGGTCAAGTTAGACCACTTGGGAGTCCTTCAACATGTAACTGAAATGCTAATGGCATGATACATTTCGCAATGCTTCAGTTAAATAATACATATATATGTTCCCGTTATAGATAAATATCAACCAAACTTCACATATTAAACCTTATTTGAGAATGACCAGCTTAGTAGTAAATATCACAGCATTAGATTGGCCAGTTATATAATATATGAAAGCAGTCTCCGGCTGATGAAACCCGTAACTACTGCAGTGCACTGCGAAATCGTACACGAGACAAAGGTGCATTACGACTAGCGGGTGCTTTCCTTTTTGCTTTTCAAAACTTTCTGCGAGGCTGCTGCAGGCCTCGCTTTGCCTTCAGCTAGTCATGAATGTCCACTTGCAATGCCTCCAAAGAGACATTGAGACATCCCACAGGTGTACATACATTGCTGTAGGTGTCGCCGAGCAATTCCGAAAAACCACTTGCCATTGTTTTACTGGATCTTGACATGCCAGAGTTTCGCCAAAAGTACAAACGTAAAACAATGGATTGCAAGTGTCCCGGCTGGTGCCTCTGTCGTGCATTCATGTTTGCATGCATGTGAGGGCAACTTCGGCAGGCTTGCAGTTGCACATGCTTCATCGCGCGAGCCGAGATGGCTGTTCGATCGAAACGGAAACCACGCCACTCCGCTCCGCTCCGTCGCCAACTGGTTCCCAAAATTGCATGCAAAATGTAACTGTCCGGCATACGACAAAAAACAGTCCAGCGGCACGTGCTTGCCAGGCAGGCAGGCAAGGTACAAGCTAAACAAAAAAAAAAAGAACCTGAGCGCGTCGATGCAAGACATCGCAAGCCAGGGTCAAGAAAGTTCTTGGGGCGCTTTGTGCAACGGCTGAACTCGAGACAAACAAGCGCGCTGTGCAGGTTCAGCATGAAGACATTGCATTCTTTGCTTTAGTTCACTTCTCTTCACTAAATTTCTTTCGCGGCAGATTTTTCACGTGCCGGGGTCCCTCTGAAAGAAAGCCCGCCGAGAGAAACTACAGTTTTCACATGCCGGAGTCCCTCTGAAAGAAAGCCCACCGAGAGAAACTACAGGTAATCAATACTTCGACACAGCAGTCTTAGTGTTAAAGAGGGATTTTTGTAGAAGCGTCTTAAACAAGAATGGGAATGATGATGAACATGCGGCGGTCCTTACGTTACAGTTTAGTAAGCGCCATATCTGCAGCGACGTGGGGACGGCAACACCCGACGCCGCGTGACCACGGTGACTGGCAAGCAGGGACCAAAAATAGTTTTCCCACGGCCTTTGCTTTCAGGAGCAAGTGCTTCAGCTCATAAAGTACATAACTCCCACCGCGCAAGAATGTGGTTTTGTTTCGCAGCATGACGGCATGGCTGGTACCCGGCATGCTTGCGTCGGAGCGCACACTGTGACGAGACCCACGAGATGACGAGAGTGCGAAACGAGAGACGGCAGGATAAACCATGCAAGACCATAGAAAAAATCGTAAGGGTGCAGGCGAGCTGGTGAATATTAACCATGTTGAATTAACCCGAGACTGGGATAGAGAAGAAACATCAAAACGTAGAAGGAACAGAAAATAGACAGGACGACGTCTCAAACCGGATGGACGATTGATGCAGGGTACTTTCTGTTGGGCGGCCGCTTGCGCCACCTAGCCCAAGCATGCTCAGTTTAGTTTCAGTTTTGAAAGGCGACCAAAATTAGTACTTTGGCGCAGGCTTGCCGCAGATTACCCATATTTTGGCAAAATTTATCAGGATGTAGCTGGGTTAGGCCCTTGGTGCAGTTTGGCACAATTGGCGCAGAAATCACATCACTGAACTTTTCAACTGCAGTGCATATGCTTAATGAAAGCTTTAAAGTCTTCACAAAGC